TTATGTTTAGGGTGCCTTGCCCTTCACACCCTGTACTGTTGTTGCCATTAGGCTCAGGACGATGTGGTCTGTACTCGCTGAAAGGAGCTATATGAGTTTCAACCCTTGAAATCAGAGGGCTCATAAGCCCAGAGAGTTCTTCAAGACAACACAGGCATGGCAAAACCAAAACAGAATCTGCAGCATATAGAACTATACAACAAACCACGGATCATGCAAATCATTCTCCAGTTTTGCTTGAGGCAGGAATTTTAGATATGCAGATAGGCAGGCAAGCAGATGCTATCCACAACTTTAGAAAGGAGAAAATAGTAGCTTGGGACTCTCCCAGTACCTTTGGTATGTCCTCTCTTCCACCCTTTGGAGTCTGATTCAGGGACCTCGTCGTTGTATATCGCATACGCAATGCTGTTCTTCTGCAGGAAAACACACGTTTCTGAAACATGACATTGAGTAAAAGGAAGGCATTTAAGCGAACATCTGCTGGGAACAGAAGAATTAAGGACTTCTCTGCGTGAACATCACGAGTCTAATCCTTCTCCCAATTCAGCCGACACAGTCTCCACAGAAGTCACAGTAAAATAAACCTGAAGGCTCAGCATTAGGGTTCTGGTTAACATAAAGTGGAAGTTCTCAAGAGGGTGAATATGCTCACTAAGACAATTTACATGGGTTGATCGGGCACTCGCTTGCAAAGAAGTTCCCCCCCTCTTTTTTTTTTTTATGCCTCTCTGATTTAGGAACCAGATCCAGTGAAAATGTTTGCTGAGGAAAAAGAGTCGTGACAAGCGTTCTTATGAAGGGCAAGCAATTAATGCTCTTTTTTTTCAAAATGTTTGCATATGGCTGCACCTTATTCCCCCTGAACAGAGAACTTCAAAGGAGCTGGGACATGTTTCCTCTCCCCATGTACTTTGTAAACAGTTTATTACAATTGCAGCAAGACCTGGAGCAGGGCAGCTGATGGGATTGCCAATATTTGACTGACTTCTGGGAATCTCTTCTATGTATAAATTCATGACACCCTACCACTAACCCACAGCAGAAATACAAAGACACACCCAGACTCCAGAGAATACTATGTAGATGGTAAAAAAATAACCGTAGGCAGATCTTGTGGTATTTTATAATCACTTTACACAAATACAAATGAGGTGTCTGACTGGGGGGGTGAGGGGGGAGGCCTAACGAGCAGCATTATCACTGCTGAAGCAAGTCAAGGTGATTTCAGGGGGGGAGAGCAAACCACACATTTGCTTTGAGGCAGAGCGTGAAACACATGCGCGTGGGAGAGCTTAGGACGCACGTCCGTAACAGCCACCACTGGCCCCGGTCTGAGTTCACAGCCAGACCACAGCTTCAGACGTTGCACAACGTGAATTGCAGGGAAGAAGCCAAAGGGACGATGCACCAACGCTCGTTTTTCTGATGGGCGATACTTTAAGCGTGTGAAAGGCTTGACTAGAAATTAGAAGTTCGAGGATAATTTCTAATTGTAGCCAATATTGCGAACAATCCGCCCAGCTCTCAAGACAGGTTTCTTGTGGTATTTTATAATCACTTTACACAAATACAAATGAGGTGTCTGACTGGGGGGGGTGAGGGGGGAGGCCTAACGAGCAGCATTATCACTGCTGAAGCAAGTCACAGTGATTTCAGGGGGGAGAGCAAACCCCACATTTGCTTTGAGGCAGAGCGTGAAACACATGCGCGTGGGAGAGCTTAGGACGCACGTCCGTAACAGCCACCACTGGCCCCGGTCTGAGTTCACAGCCAGACCACAGCTTCAGACGTTGCACAACGTGAATTGCAGGGAAGAAGCCAAAGGGACGATGCACCAACGCTCGTTTTTCTGATGGGCGATACTTTAAGCGTGTGAAAGGCTTGACTAGAAATTAGAAGTTCGAGGATAATTTCTAATTGTAGCCAATATTGCGAACAATCCGCCCAGCTCTCAAGACAGGTTTTAATAGATCTAGTTGGTCAGGTCCGGCCGTACCCCTACCATTGGGGCTGGTTTAATTTCATTTGCATGCAGTATCAAGTAAGGATACTAACAAAAAGATAATTAAAAGTCACTTGCCTCGGATTCGTACGTCTCGTACAGCTGCTTCAGTGTTTGTCCCAGAGCACCCTGTGTCATGTTGATGAGGTATTTACCGAGCTGCCACTGCGGAGCCAGGGCGTCCATGTACATGTATTCCAGCCCCAGCATGGGAATCGCTCCTTTGGAGTATTTCGGCAACTTGTAAAGGGCAAACCTGCAACGGTGAAGAGCAATTCGTTTTGTACAGCCATCCTGCTTGGATGTGTAAATCGGTATCTCCTTCCCACCTGAGGGTGTAAGACAAGGGCGACTGCGGGGATGCTGGTGGGGGCCCAGTGCCACCAGCGCGCAGCGGGGACACCTCAGCCTCGAGGAGGTGACCTGGTGCAGGGACCAGCAGCAGCCCGGCGGCACGGTTCCTGCTGCAGACAAATCTGTTCTGCTTCATAGCGAGCAAGGGAGGCGGATTTGGCACCAAACTCCTGTTGCTGTGGCCAGGCTGCTGTTGGTACCCCAAAAGAATTTGAGGTAGCCCTGGTCTGGAGTCCCATTTAGCCACCAAATCCCTATTGCTCCTGGTTCTGGTAGAGAACCTCAGGTCGCAATCTCAGTCTGATATTCCCATGGTCAACCTGGACATATATTTTTATACAATTATATAACTTTAAATGAAATAAAATGATCTATTAAAATGATTAAAATGCATAATGTTATATTTATACGTATTAAAACCACAAAATAAATATAAATATAAAATAAAATAAATATAAAGCCATGGGATAATGTTGTTCAGCCAGAAACACAAATCTTTTCAAAACTGTAGAGTGCTCGATATTGTCAGTAAATGGCTCGGTTCATACTAAAAAATGTCCCTGATGAAGTAAACGGGTTTTCCCAGTGCACAAGTCCATGGGATTGATCGCAATATAATTAATTGGGCCACTTTCTTTGAGTGCTGTACTTAATTTGTTATTTATGCCAATAATAAGAACTGAGCAGCATTCTCTTCGATCCCATACCATTTACCAAAAACGCAGCCTGACTGTGCTTAACCCTTCAAATGTATCAGGAGGAGCGAGTCTTGCCCACTCGATTTACAGTCTCAAGTTGGTCAGAAAGGCACCTCCGAAAGCAGGCAAGAAGTGGCAGGAAAGCATTTTGCCAGAGGAATAATTTTTTCCATGGGAAACGTCCACATAGAGGCAGAAGAGAAACACAGACCACTGGTAAGCCTGGTAATCCACCTGCCTTGCCCCTGGCTGAGTGACGTTCCTTAAATGTCCCCGGCGAAAGTGTCGCTGATGTCAGATTACAGAGAAGTGATTTATACAGCAAGGCTGGGGAGAGCTCGCCATGCACGAGCCGTCCCAGCAATCCCTTCATTTGAAATGAAGCTTTGGAAAGGAGGGCAAGAGCAGCAGTTACGGCAGTAGGAGCTGATCCAGGAATTAGTATACGGAGCCTTTCCAAACTGTTTGGAAATGTATTGGAAGATTTATGCTCTCAGGGTGTCCACAGCCTTGCATCCGACAAATACGCATTAGCAGGTACGCTTACGGAGACGCGAGCAGTTGAGCTATCAGCGAATTGCTTGCCAATTCCCAGTGGATACATGTTTTGGCCCTTTCCAGAAAGCCAGCTGAGTGTATTGGCAATTGAAGCGATATGAAAGTCTTCACTGCTGTCTGTGCACGGGAAGCTTCTCAAGAGCTTGGGCATTTGTGGGAGCAGACTGAAAGTTATTTTCCTGAGACCCAAGGAAAAGCAAATCCGCTTATACCCGATTAGGATTGTCACATTGTTTGCTCGTGACGGAACACAAACTTACTGCAAATAATCACATCTTTATTTCTTAATCACATCTTTACTTCTTCCCCCGCCGTCCCCAAGAAGAAACCCAAACAACGTGCACCTGCAGCTTCAGCCCTCGCCTCAACGCTTCTCAGAAAGCAGAGTTTTGGCTTTTATTTACATGAAAAGCTTCCCGCAGAATACAGGAAAGCCTCTCTGCCCTCCTTAGGGAGCCGATCCTACGGCCTTTTGCTCTGGTAGCCCCTGGGCGAGGTGCAATGAAGGTGGTGGGACGAGCTCCCGAGTGGAATGGCAACACGGAGGGGCGGGGGGGGTGTGTGTGGATTTTGCCAGCCCAGGCACTCACTGCGCGTGGGCAGGAACCACAGGCACGGCTGGGGAGCACAGGTGGGATTGGGTTAGATAAGGCAAGTGATTCCTCCGGTTTAGTGGCAAATGAAAGGGTGTGTGAACACTAATAATGAGTAATTATGGAATATTGCAGGATGAAACCACTGCATAGTAGGAACTCACATAAAGCTCTTGTTAACTGGGTATAAAACCTGCTGCGCTGCGAGTGTTTGAAAGGGCATCGACATCTTTTGGTAAAGAGGAAGCTTTTCTCAGCAGTTTCAGTTCTGCTTCTCCTATCAGCCTCATAGCAACCAAATCCAGAATCAGGCAAAAGTTGACTATTTGTCAATAAACTAGGGTGATGCCTGCAGATAGGCAAGTTTCTCTTTCATTTGATCACGGCACATCGGAAAGGAAATCCCCCATGTCCTCCTTGCTAAACTTGGCAGAAGAGAACATGGTTTTACCCGTGCAGACCCCCCTGCTCCCACCTGGGTCAGGTCCCACGTCGCTGGTGTTCACATGCGTGGCGGCATGGGTGAAGTGCTCCTCGTCACAGCTTTCAAAGAATTTCTCAGAGAATTTGGATACAACAATTGCGTTCATTGAGGAAATGGATGGTAAATGGGTTTTTTGTTTTGTTTCAGTTTTGGTCTGTTTTGTTTTGGTTTGTTTTTTTTTTTTTTTTAGCTTTAGCACACACAGTCTCATTCTGCAAGGAATAACTGCAGTTTGCAGAGAAATGAAATTTCTCGTACCTTTAAATTGGGTAGCTGCACCAACTAAGAGTCCGACTCCTGAAAAACCCACGCTGTCCAGAAGGGCCTTGGCAAGGGTGACAAATCACAGGGGTGGACTGGACCCCCACACAGCTGATGCTGTGCTAACAGGGAGCAAAGCCGGCTTTACGCCCCTGCTTGCGTAGCCGCCTGCGGTGCGAGGAGCCCCTGCCTTCCCTGCAGCCGCCTCTGCGCGCAAGGGAGGGACGTGCAAGAGTAGCACCTACTTCTTTACCACTTGCATCCAAACTAATCATTGCTCCACAAGAAAGGCACTTTTCTTTTTGAAATCGGTTCATATTTATCTCTGGGAGGCTTCCGTGTTAAGAGCCCTCATTTCACTTTTTGAACCTGGCTTGGCTATTATGTCATTATACTTCGCGCCTTTCATCTTCAAAGCGCGTTAATCCAATTAATCATTTCATACCCAAACTGGGGCTTGCTGCTGGCAGTGGGACGGTACCGGCAGCTCGGGTGGTGGAGAGCGACCTCTGCGCCTTGGCCGCAAGGTGCAGGCACGGACAACCCCGTCCCGCGCCTCTCCCGCACCCCTCCATCCCTCCCGGGGGCGGCTCAGCCTCCGCTCCCCCTCGGCCACGGCAGCAAGGGGACAAGCCCCACCGCGCTGCTCTTCGGGTACGAGCGGCGAGGCTAAGGGTGGTACGGGGACGTTTTCCCCGCTCGGCTCGGTGTCCCCAGCTGGAGGAGCTGCGTGCTGGAGCCCTGGCCCCGGCCGGGCGCCCCCGGGGCTGCCGCCAGCGAGCGCAGCCTTGGCACCCCAACACAAGGCTATGCTCCCTTTGATGATGAGGCATGAACGCCGTGTAAACCCGTGATTATTTTGCAGTTAGTCATCATGCAGTAGGGTGGTTGGTTCAGCGAAATGAAATCGCGTTTCAATAACTTACCCTAGGTTTTCCAAATGCAAAATTCAGCTACTACTCACGGGCAAACAAGATTAAAACAGCAATTGCTTTGCCTTACTTCTCAGTGATCCACCTACTTCATGTGGTTTAATCCCAAGCATTATTTATTTACTCACCCAGCATTTCTCCCCTCCGCGGTGTTTACTCACCAATCGACCGTCTCCCCGTCTTCATTCCTGCAGGCAATCTCAGCTGCCCACAGGGGCGCGGAGGAGAGGAGCAGGAGCAAGGCAGGGTGACACCATGCAGATCCCGCAGGCATTTTGGTTTCTCGACTGCACAGGGCGAGCACTGGGGAGGCTCTAAAAGGAGAAGTTGTGTTGCATGAGCTGTCGGCTCTGCCGTGCGATGCAGTAAGCGCACCCTGGGCCCCCGGGATGGCAGAGCCAGCCCGGGAGGTCGGGCTCCCACTGCTGGGACAGATGTCAGCAGCGGGGCCAGGGCTCCCCGGAGCCACCAGAAACTGCTCAGGGTTTGTTTGGGCAACAAAATGGCAAAATGAGAGTTATGGTTTTGAGAAAACTTCCCTTTGTATTTTAGGAGGCAGTATTTTGACTATTTAAAATATTCAAGGTATTCTGCTTTTTTTTAAAAAAAAAAAAAAATCAAACAAAAAGCTGCAGTACCAAAACCATTTTTGTTTTCTTTTTAGTGCTGCATGACTGAAGTATGAATTTTTTTTTACAACTATCTGAAAAAATAAACCCCTCGGTGTTCAGACAAGCAAACCAAAATCATTTCCAGCTGACTACTTCTGCGTCCAGCCCTCGCAGCGAGCACAGCCCTTGCACCGTGCCTGCACAGAGGCTTTCTGGTGAAGCGTGGAGCCCTGCCCGGTTCTGGCGGTGGGGGCCTTCATTTGTCAGCGGGGATTGAGCCCGCGGGGACTGGCAGCCAGAGAAAACCCTCTGATCTCTGAGCCACAGTAATTTACTTACAATTAGTTCATTTTTTTTTTTTTAATTAGCTTTTAAGTGCATTAGCATTTCTCTTGGGAACAAACATGTCTGAATCAAGCAATTTTACATCTGATAATCCTGCAGCTACTCACACATAAAAAGCTTCAGTTCGTATTTTGATGCGTAAAATATTCCTTCCCCCTCCTCATCACGCTTCCCTTAGAAGGTGCTGATTTACGTTAAAAGATGTCGATACCAAGCATGGGCTATTTCAGCCTCAGGGAAGGTCTAGCACAACAAGCCGTGGATGTTTTAGCCTAACAGAAATCCTCAAACCTTCACAGTATTTCATCTCCTTTCTAATCCAGCCTCTCCAACACTGTAATAGATGTGTAAATTGGGTGTGCTTGGCAGAAGCAGGATAACGCTGAACAGGGCTTAGCACAAACAAAACCAATGATCCCAGAAAGCCAGGATTTTTGGAGGTGTGGGTCAAGACCTGAATTTTGCTGCTGACTCCCCTTTGCTGGGGGATCAGAACTGTAACATGGCTGCGAGGAAACGCTTTCAACCAGCCCAGCCTGGTTTGCCTTTTCTTCTTGCTCTCGGGAATCACAGCGTGCATGGAGGGGGTAATAAACCACACAACGTACCAAGAACGTGCCGGCCGTTTCCATTTCCATATCGGACTTCTGCCTGCTTGCAAAGCAAGGGAAGAATTCTTCTCGGGGAAGAATTGCTTTGATACCCACCGCTTCCACTCAGCCTTGCAGCAGCGAGCCCCTCTGTGCCGTGATGGGGACAGCCGTGGGGGTGCAGAGCGCTCGCTGAGCTCTGCCCGCTAACGGGGGGCTCTGCCCGCTAACGGGGGGCTCTGCCATCCAGGATGCTGACCGCCTTTTGCTGGCTTCTGTGTAAAAACAGAGGGCTCAGCGCATGGCACACACGGAGCCTGAGAGAGGTTGTGAGAGCTGGGGGCCAGAGGAGCAGGAGGCGGTGGAAGCCTGGGCTTGGTGCCACAGACCAGGAGGAGTTGTACCTGGGTGCAGCCCAGCCTGGCAGAGCTGGCCCTGGTGCAGCGACTGCGGAGGGTGCAGGGGTGAGGGCCGCCTGTCTCCTGCCAGCGGTGACTGAATGCACCGGGACACTCCGGCTTCAGAAAGAGACGGTGGAAGAAAGACTCAGTGAAGGTCTATAGAGTCAGGACTAACCCAAAGACGATGAACAAAGAGAGACTGGTTCACTGATACTCATGTTAAATGATCTGCTCCCTATAAAATTTTAAAATTCGATCACAGCTGCTACTAATGTAACAATATCTTCCTAAAGCATTTTTTCTTCCCATCAGGACTTTGCAATTTGTAATGAAAATATTTTCATCACAGGCAACCACAGAAATAAAGGTCACGAACATTGCTTATGTTTCATTGCCTGAGCATAACTCAGGCGTCCACTGAGTTCCTTTACAACTCTCACGTGTTTTCTCTGCAGGTCAAGGATGTAGAGGTCCTCAACTGCGAATATGGCAAGAACACAATTAAGTTCCTTCGCCTTCACAGAGAAGGGAAGAAGCACTTCTTTAAAGAAGTAGAAGTGTGCACGCATCTCCGGCTGACTTCTGCTCAGGAGTACCTGGACGGAAACAACTCTCTTGTGATACCTACCGACACCATGAAGAACATTGTCCTTGTGTTGGCCAAAAAAAATGGGGTATTTTTTACTTTTTAACTAGCCTTGCTGTTTCTTATAGCTTCAGTTGGAAGTGTTTGTTGTACTAACTTCTTATTCTCAAAATGCGTCAAAAGAACCTCTCTCCCTATCGGCCTGCCAGACCGGTGCTAAAGTCACCTTCAGCCACTGGGGAGAGAATTTTTCCTCCTCCATTGCTTATCCTGCAAACTCCTTTTTAGTTGTCCAAAGCCTTTTTTTCTCCTAGAGTTAGCGGTATTTTTTTATAAATTTGTCATATGAGACCCGTCTTTTTTGTTTAATTTAATAGCACATAATACTGCATTATTCCTATATATATATTCCTATATAGCACTTTTAAACGGAAGGTGTTGAAGTATGTCAGATTTCTCTTAATTCTGTTAACCGTGCTCTCACCTCCCTCAACTGCATCTATCGTAATGACAATCCGTAGCGCAAATTCTCTGTCTCCGCAATGAAATCCCATCTTTAGCCTGTAAAGCTTAATCAGAACATCGACATGATTATTTCAGCATTACATCCTCAAAGCGTAAGGCTTCTGTGGCAGTCGCTCTCAGTCCAAGGACTGCAGCTCGCTACACCACAGAATGGGAGATTTTTGACACAACTCCGTAGCTGCTATTTGCAGGGACGCTGCAAGCTGATCAAATGACGAGGCACAGCACGCAAAACCTCAATTGAGAGAAATCTGTATTTTTAACACTACTGATCCTCCCCAAATATTTACAATGAGCAGTACAATCTACTTTTGCCCAGGAGATAATGGCTTCTTTCTAATAATACTGTTTGCTGTCTTAGATCCCGACTTTAGAACAATTTGCTATAGATATCTGCAAACACTTCATGACAACGTTTTGCCAAGTGGCGTATGTCAAAACCTACGTTCAAGAAGTACCATGGCAACGTATACATGAGGTATCTAAATTGCTAATACATTCAGTTTGTTGATGCCGGAGCCAATTGTCACGATCTTAGCTCCTGTTTTCAAGCTAAGATGTTATTTACTGCACTTTTACTTACATGTCGGCTCTAAATTGCAGCATGGCGTTCCCCACATCCACTCGTTTATATGCGTTCCTGATGGGATCCGCTTTTGCGAAGCTGAGCAGTGCCGAAACGGTGAGACGAGAATTTGCGACTTCCCCTACTTCTCTGTAAATATTTCCGCTGATGAGAGATGAAGATGGCTTTATAGATAGCGAAAGGTGTTACAGGGCTTATGGCATAGCCAAACCTCTCCGGAGGTCTAAAACAAAGAATATTTTTATGGTCTAATTTTGCACTCCTTGATATGAGACATGGCTGACGAACTAATGTAGCTCACGTTTCTACGTATAGCCTAAACATATACCGGTTACAACAGCACATTCAACAGGACTGCTATATATTGTCACAGGATTTAACAGCCTTCTGAGAACGGTCTGCTCACTTTTTTACATTACACTATCTTCTGCAGTCTCACTATTATCATTACCCTATAGAGAATATATCATGAAACCACACTGCTGCTGTTGGCCAGTTGCCCAGTTTGCAGGTATTTTCAAAACCCTGTCAGCATGCCTGGGTTTTATTTCTAAGAAAGATGCAATTTCGTTGCTGCAAGTCAGGCTGGCCTGAACATCGTGAGCGCTCAGGTCTACGCGCAAACAACTATTCACAGGAAAATACTTCAGAGTGCCCTCAGTATTTTTGCATGCCAAAGCACCGTTCGGCTTTGCTAAGAGTTTTGCCATGCTTAAAAGAGACAGGCTTTCAAGCTCAACTGGCTGTCCGTAAGTTGGCATTCCAAAGGGAATGTAAAAATGATCTCTTCTTGCTGCGACTCGCAACAAGAGCATAAGCTCAATCTCGCCGTGTTGGTGTTTCATGTAACCCGTCTCTCAGAGCACTGGGAACTGAGCTGAGACCCCCACGTTATTTCACCCAGCGGGTTTACAGGTTTCAGACATTAGTTCAGTATCTATTACTCTCCTCATGTAACTTAGAGCTATTTCCCCTCCTGCCCTCTCTCCCCACTTTCCCAACGTGTCAGCATTAGGACCAGTGGAAAGACCAGTTTCACTGGCAGACGGGACGCAGGTTCCAAAAGGCTCATTTGAGCATTGCCCCTCTGCTCC